CAAATGCCATCTGGCCCTGAGCTTCCTAAAGACTAATTATTCATAAATAACAGGAGGATAAAAGGTTTCTCTTAAGAATCTTTTTCAAAACACTCATTTTTCCTCTTCACTTAATCCTAGCACTTCTCTCCCAGTAGAACAGTAGTGCTCTTATGTATGAGTACAGACAGTTTCCCTGGGATCAGTAGTGCTGTTGTATAGATAAACACTCATGGTTATGACATGGTGATAAACTGAAATATGGTTTAGTTAATTTGTTAGAAATAGCAGTTTCTGCCTTATCTGGCCATAAAAGCAATGATAAACTCTAAGTCATATATTAAAACAGGTCTAAAAAACATGACAGACACCTACTAGCCAGAGACTGATACAGAAAATGAAGGGAATCCTCCACCTAGCAGGGCCAATGGCAAAGTCCTGGAGAGAAGCTCGGTCACTCCTTTCTACTGGGAAGGAGGAAGGTGCAGGGATTCCTATGAGGATGCTCTCAAAGCATACGTATAGGCTCCACCTTTCCTATAGGTCTTTGACTACTAGATGCTGAACACCTCTCCTAGAGCAGGGGTTCTTAACTTTTTTCTTTCTGAGGCCCCCCTCATCATGCTATAAAAACTTCACAACCCACCTGTGCCACAATAACTGGTTTTCTGCATATAAAAGCCAGGGCCAGCATTAGGGGTAGCAAGCAGGGCAACTGCCTGGGGCCCCATGCCACAAAAGCTCCACGAAGCTACATTGTTCAGGCTTCAGCTACAATTCCAGGGTCCTGACAAGTCTCAGGGCCACAGGCTTCAGACCCATGTGGTGGGGCTTTGGCTTTCTGCCCTAGGCCCCAGCGAGTCTAATGCTGGCCCTGCTTGACGGCCCCCCGAAAACCTGCTTGCAGCTCCACAGGGGGCTCCAGGCCACTGGTTGAGAACCATTGTCCTACAGTACCTCTTTTCTGGTAGGAAGAAGGAGCTTTCTTTCCCATTTCTCTCAAGATGATGTGGTGGAGTGTCCACTACCTGTGCCAGTGCTCCCTTGAAAATGCCACCTCTTTTTATAGCAGGCTTACAAGTCATGACAATTTATTTAAAACAAAAACAAAAAATTGTATCACTTAAGAAAAAAGTTTTGAGATGGGGTGGAGGGGTGGCTTTCCAAATATGAGCTGAGTGTAATTAATGCAGTGCTGCCTTTGAGAGTCTGCAGACACCACAAAATAATGACTGAGATGTGAACTCCCCTGCTGCCATTTGTTACACACAGCAGTTAATGCCAATGCACAATAATCATGGCACTTTAAAAGTCAGCATTAACTAGTCCACTGCTGATCAGCTGAGCTGATAGGAAGAGAAATGGGGTGAGATTTTGAAAGACAGAAGAAAAATGAGGGACGACAGGGAACAGAAAAGGAAAGAAGGACGAAGAAGACAGGAAAAAAAGAACAAGAACAGTGGTAATCCTAAAGGAGAGTATAAAATCCTTCTTACTCAATATGACAATAAAAAAAAAAAACACACAGAAGTTTATTTACTACAGAGGGCCATATTCCATGGTGGTTCTTTATAAAAATCTCCCGCAGCCATCTGTGGGAGTTTGGCTGTGGATTTTGGATAATACATAGTCCTAAATTTATATTCTGATTCACTAATCATAATTAAACATGAAATTCAGCCTCCTGAATAGAATGAATTTGGCAGCTCTGGTTTATGGCTTTCACAAAATGCAGCAGAGTAAAAATGACAGTATTCTTGTTAGTTTAATTGCTGCTATTTAGAACACTGTGACCAGCAATGAAACTAGTGAAACTGACCACAGCTCTATTACTTTCATTCCACTGTTTGGAAAAGCTATAAACAGCAGTCATAACACTGGTGCTGCCTGTCCGCAAACTCGGAAAGACTGCACTGCATCAGTTGCATAAGAAAACATAAGGGCTAGAAATTTAATTTTTATTAATAAAAAGGTTACATTTTGCCAAAGCTGATAGGTTAGGATCCCACTTGGCCCAGAAAATGTCCAATATATAACTGGCAACTAGATTTTTCAAGCCCTGTCTTAACTACCCAGTGAAAATCTCTGTATTTCTGAAAACGTCAGTTGTTAAAGAGTGGAGTGGTTAACAGAACACTGAGTAACATGACTGACACTTCTGGAGAACAAGAGAACGGGAAGAGAGACTTTGAAGGAAAGGCATGCAAAAAGTTACACACAGTACAGCTGGGTTTTAAAAGGAGATTTAACTTATAATTTACATACTTTAAGGTAATACGAGTAAAAAATTGTAACAGTATTCCTATTAACAGAGTTCATATTTTGGTGCAATCATTGCTTTGTTTTCAGCTTGAATGGAAAAGTGGAGTACTTGTTTACCAAGTTGGTCAAGTAAAGTACTGAAATTACAACTAAGCAGTTTGGGGTTTTTAAAAGTTTTTTGCCTTTTTTCTGTTGGCTTCATTTTCTGCATCCTAGTTTTAGGATGGATATCTTAAAGGCGCACTCAACACCTAGTTTTGGTTCTAAATTTATATCCATTTTTATTTTGTAAAGTCTGTTTAATTTATTAATTTCTAAATATTAAAACAAGTTTATTAATTTATTGGAGGTGTTATATAACTTGTTATGTAACTGCCATGTGCTATAAAATAGCAACTGTTGGGATTCTGTGGTTCCCAATAGAGGAAAGAGCAAAGAAGTGGGAGGAAGAATCACCTCCTGGCCCCCTGGTTTGGCCACAATAAGAGAAACAGTGGAAAGGTTAAGAGGACCTGTCTCAGCCTCCACCATTTTCTTTTCAGGAGAGAGGGAGGAAGGTGATTGGGAGGGTGTTCCAACTCAGCATTCATGCATGGAACACTGAGAAGGAGGAAGGGGTAGCAAGGCAGGTATTTCTCCCTCCTCTTTCAGTGTGTTCCACAGAGCCAGGAAAGCAATTAAGGACAAGGCTAGTGAAGAACAACAGGATCACTACATCTCCATGACTCTTTCCAGGATCTGGGGAGCAGCAGGTCACCTCTATCTGGGATCCTTCCGCAGTGACCTGCTAGCACAGGCAGCAAAACAGAGTTCATTTTAAGTCTAGTCTCAAATTGGTGTCCAAGTTAGCTGACATTTTGTTTCGTTAACATATTTTTAGTATCAGACTCTAAAAACTATTACTTTTACTACCTCAAAATATCCATTAAACTTCAAAGATACAAACTGAGGCCTACAATCGGCAAGTTGTTCCAAGTGGGCAGACTCTAGATCCTGCAAACTCTTACACATATGAATAACTGCATAATCCTAAAAACATTACAGGGCATAGGAACGACCCTCAAAGCACTACAATATCCAGTAGCATTTTCAGGATCAGACCATTATAATGAAGTCTAATGTATTGTATACACCACCACATGGGGAAGAGAGGAATTGGCATAAGGGTGCTAAAAATTCAACTTAAAGCAACAGACGTATAACGTATCTTGGTTCTCTCATTTCACTCATGTCTTAGGAACGAGACGAAGTAAGCTATTGTGATTTTGAAAGGTGTTTGCACCTGCCACCTCTTCCCCAAAAATAAATAAAAAACCATGAGAAGCTTTCATTCTGTGCAAACCCTCACACCTCATTTGATCATAAGTTAGTAAAACACTGAAATACATAAACTGAGTTCATATGTAGATTAACCTGAGTGGCTCACATTAGTTTATCAAACTCCATTTAATGAAAATCTCAAGGAGTTTGTGAAAAATTATAACAGGTCATCAGTCAATTTATTCCTTCCCTAACTAAAGTGTTAGTATCACAAGAGAAATGTAAGGTTGAATTATTTTTATTGAAAGTGCTATCCATCCATTCATATGTTAACTATACTAAATATATGACAGCAAAATCTAGTGAGCTAATTGTAGTATAATTGTGTAACGTGGATAACTACCCAAGAATACCCTTGTGGTGATTTTCTATATGAATACGGGATCACCATTGAAATATGAAAATAACTTTTGAGAGTATTTGTAGAACTTTGTCAAAGATTTAAGCACTCTGTAACAAATTCATGTACTATTTTTGTCCATATCTTATTTTGATAGATTGTTTTAACTAAATGCCTGTGTAATGGGATATACAGACAGAAAGATGAATGCCTTTACAATGTAGTTCAATTTAGATACCTTTTATTTTTTTAAATAAAGATAGGTATATAGAAAGGAGTCAGTAAGTGGAACACTGTAGTAGCTCACTATAGCATTTATGCTAAAACCACTTAATTGGTGCACGTTCTGTTAAACGACTGAGATTTTAAAATCAAAATATTCAACGAATTAGACGTTAAACAGCACCACAAAGATTCTCAGGCCAATTCTAACCTGGGCAGTAACTGCAATTAACTCTCTCTTCAGCCCCACCACGCGCTGCACAGGAGCCCTATACCTCCCCTGCCAATGGGGCGCAGGGTGGGGAAGACAGGTTGCAGGGTCACAGTCCTTCGCAGGGGAGGTGTGGGGTGTCCCCTGCCCCGGTCGCGCGGAGGGAAGCCAACCAGACATGTAACAATCACCCTCTCCTCCTCTTTCACCTCTCTAGGTAAAGAAACATGGGCCGCCTCCGCGACTGCCCTACTGCTTCCCATACGCTCAGCACGGACTCGGGTCAGGGCTCAGCCGCATCTACCCCCATGGCCAGGCCCAGGAAAAGAACAAGGTTACGCGCCTGACACAGGATATCACAGCGACCCTCCCCCTGCGCGCCCAGTGGTGCAGGGGCCCTGGGGCCAACGGCCACCCCCGCCGCGCTCCCAGCAAGGGCCAAGGGGGGCAGCCCTGGTACGGCTCCCCTTCGCCATTTTGACCTGAGCGTCCCCACTGAGAGGGGCAGCGCCTGTGGGCCCAGAGACACCCTCTCTCTCCCCCCTCACAGCTGTGGGAGGAGAAAGTGTCCGCTCCGCGTCCCTCTCCCAGAGCGGGCGAGAAGGGGCCCCGCAGCCGCCCGTCTACTCGCCCAGCCGGGCTGGCAGAGCCTGTTTGTGCCCTTACCGTGGCCCGAAAGCCGCCACCGCTGCCCCCTCTCCGCCGAGGCGCCTCACCCCTCCGCCGCACAGAATGATGCCATCTCACGGCGGAGGCATCGGCGGCTCGCGCACAACAACCCCCTCCCCCACGCCAGCCGTCGCGCGCCCCCAACTGCCAGCGCCGACCGAGCCGGACGCTGAGCGCGTGCGTTTCTGCGCGCGCCCGCCCGCCAGGGGAACAGGAACTTGTAGGAGCAGGAGCTTCTGCCTCCTCGGCCTGAACCAACTTCTCTACGGCGGGGGGGGGGGGACTAGGCCAACCGCTCCAGCGAAAGGAAGGGGCAAGGGCTTACGCTGCAAGGGGTTGAACCAACTGAGTGCCCCGAACTGAACCAACCTCTGTAGAGACGGGAGCTGGAGGTCGGTGGGTTTCCTCCTGATCACCCTGGCGTGATCCAGTTGGGGAGGGGTGAACGTGGCATGGGGCAGCGATGCCGTTTAGAGGCACTGAACCGAAGCAGCTTCTGTGCTGGGCGAGGCATTAAGCCAGCGGGCCCTGGTACCCTGTACTTGGTTCACCAGGTAATAGCTACCTGCTTCTGCCTTCGCGCTCTTTGGATAAGGTTCAACCCCATCGCCATTTCCACCCACTCAGTGATTCTAGGGCTTGGTTGTTGGAGGAGGGGCTGCAGCGGCTGTGGTGTGTTAGAGAGAGAGAGTGAGTGAGAGTGGGGGGGTGGAGGGTTATATATGAAGGAAAAGTTATTCTCTGCCGTGCAAGTTACTAGTGAACTAGTCACAGCACAGAAGAGTGAAAGCTGAGCCCCAGGGAAGGGCAGGGGCTGGATTTAGCTTAGACCTAGTCTGCACATACATTTTGTATCAGGTTTCCAATTTTGGTTGAGGGGTTTGACTTTTTACCAAGCATTACTGGACTGGCACTTGAGCCCCAGATGACTGTGCTACGTAGGCACTGTAGAAACACAGAATAAAGAGACAGTCCCCATAGTTATACCAGTACAGCCCCTAGCGCAGATGTAGTTATTATGGCATGAGTGCTTACACCAGTACAGCTTATTCCACTTCCCCTAAGGGAAGCAGTTATACTAGTATAAGTACATGTACTGATAGAACTGCACCTGCAGCAGTGAAGACGATTGTACTACTTTAAAAAGAACAGGAGGACTTGTGGCACCTTAGAGACTAACCAATTTATTTGAGCATAAGCTTTCGTGAGCTACAGCTCACTTCATAAGCTCACGAAAGCTTATGCTCAAATAAATTGGTTAGTCTCTAAGGTGCCACAAGTACTCCTTTTCTTTTTGCGAATACAGACTAACACGGCTGCTACTCTGAAACCTGTACTACTTTAACTTCTGTATTTAGACAAGGCCTTTGGAATGGACTCATTCATTAGAGATTTGACACCCTGCTCTTTAAATTAGGGAACAAGACCCCGGCCCCAGCATTTACCATTAGACATTTGTAACTTCTAATTTTTTTTTAAAAAGACACACACACTTTAAAGCCTTTTTTTAGGCATAATGAAGAATCAATTTGAAAAATAAGCCACAGACTGTTAAAAAAAATCCTTAAAGTCACCTTTAAGAAATGTTTTAGACTAAGCTTTTTGAGAAGATAGAACAGAAAAGTAGGGTCTCTCTTAACTAGATACAGTGGTGGGAATTTCTGTAAACTGAAAATAGTGGGTATTTATATGAATTTTAACACAGTAATTGTAGCACAGGAGATGTGGGCTGTAGACTCAAACTCAGAAATCGGTTGTAGGCAGTAAAAAATAGCAAACTTTACTTAAAAATCTAATAAATTGATTTGACTTACAAAGTTCAGCAACTATAGCCACCTTTTTATAAATTCCAGCCTTAAGTTAAAGAAAGTAGCAGGCAACCTTCTGACCTTAAGTTTAAGTATAAAATCCTGTTTTGAATTGACTTCTTTCTTCTTCTTTATGCTTTATGGCAAAGCAGACTCATCTACTGAGTGGTTTCAGAGTAGCAGCCTGTATATTCCCCGTACATTCATGCCACTACACTCTCTTACCCTGCATCCGATGAAGTGAGCTGTAGCTCACGAAAGCTTATGCTCAAATAAATTTGTTAGTCTCTAAGGTGCCACAAGTACTCCTTTTCTTTTTTACCCTACTCTATATCCTTAAAAAAAGTAGTAGAGATTTTTTCCAAATAGTGTCACTAAACCCCTCATACTATATTTTATCACCTGAAAGCATCTAAATTCTTCACAAAGAAGTTTCTGTGAACACTCCCTCCATTCCCATATCATGTGATCAGTGGTGCCTTTACATGCGTTACATAACCCATCTTTGTGTCTATTCTGTAAATATAAATTATTATTCAAACCACAGTGACCAGTTAGCAGTCTAAATATGAGTACTTCACTGATTCTTTCATAACTGGAGCAGTGCATTATCCTCTATGTTGGGACATACTTCATAGCATAGTCTTCCTCTTTTCCCCTGGGTCCATAATTCTTGCCATTCCTTTTTTTTAGTTTAATCCTTTTTAACTAAACTTTTAATTCTTGCTTACTCAACGGAATCTTTATATCAATTTCCCCATGCTCTAAAGTGGTTTTTTGCTTCTCTATCTGCCATTTCATTGCCAGATATCCTGGCTTGTGCTGGAATCCCCGTTAGAACTATGTGCATGCTTGAACATACTAATTCTGTTGTCAAAAACAATATCTCATTTATTAGATCACTCCTGCTTTCTGAGATAACTCTTTTAATTGCCAATATACTTAATAATCCAAAAAGATAACAGCTAAGGTAGCCCTTATGTCCCAGATCCAGTTTAATGTTAACATTATTCCCAGCAATTCTGCTGTCATAATGGCTACAAAATTAGATGTTCTCTTAGATTTCTTAACTCTACTGTCAGGGATGCGAAAGGTTACAACCACTCTTCTTGTTTTTTTCCATCTTTAGATTCACCAGTGCATATTCATATTCCATTTACCATTACATGAACTCAAACTTTAGCTGTCATATATAGGATGGCTTTCTTTCCCTTTATTTTATTATATAATCCTAAATCCACTTCCAGAAAGATTTTCTGAGTATAATTTAGTGTCCTACAACTATAGATTTTAATCTCTTCTAGTCCTTCCTTTTCTCTTAACTCTTTTACCCACATTTTAACACTAACATTGTATTTATGTTTCTTCCACTTATTTCCCAGCATTCCTCATATACTTGACTGACTGACTTGTAGTTGGAGACTAACTTTATAGTCCATTGGCTCCACCCCCTTTGGATTTGGTTAATAACTTTTTGCTCCTTTTTCATGTTTGTGTTGTAATTAAAAAATATATATTTTTAGGAAACAGAAGTTCATGAAGAATAATGTCCAACAATAGGGAAAAAAGGAAGTATTTAGGAATTTCGGAAGTTGCAGTGTTTCATTCCTAGCAGAAGATTGTTCTGGGGGTGGGTATAAATGGCAGCACTCAAAACTTAGCCTGCCTGCCATGGCCTAAAATGGAGTTCATGGCCAGCAGTGTTTATGTTTTTTAGCTCCTGAGGAAACTCACCAGCAAGAGAAATACTCATCTAAAGTAAGAGTACCTATATCTTTACTTTCAAAAACATAAGGACTGGTAAAGGAAGGAAGACGATAGCTTTGTAGTGTGTACCCTACAATTAAGTTCCTCTTCTCTGTCTTAATTCAATAGGTTCTGTTACCAAACCTCTGGTTTGTTCTACCCCTGGGGTTTTCCCCTGGGTAGTGGCTTGCTCTATTGCTAATAGCAGCAGTTATGTTCAGTGTTCAAAAATAGTAAGATACCACCCTTGCCCCATGGAGTTTACAATCTAGTGCAGGGGTGGGCAAACTACGGTCCACGGGCCAGATTGCCCCCTGTGGTGCCGCAGGCACTGTGCCGCTCTCAGGAGCGGTCGGCTCTACGTCCCTGCGGCCGGGAGGAGGGGCAGAGGGCTCTGTGCGTTGCTCTTGCCTCTAGGCATCGCCCCCCACAGCTCCCATTGGCCGGGAGAGGGGAGGTACCCGGAGGCGTGACAAGGGCAGTGTGCGGAGCCCTGTTGCCCCTCCCCCTCCGGGGCCACGCAGGGACGTGGTTCCGGCCACTTCCTGGAGCGGCGCGGCGTGGGGGCCAGGGCGGGCAGGCAGGGAGCCTGCCCTGGCCCCGGTACGCACTGCTGCCACCCTGGAGCCACTTTAGGTACACGGTGCCGGGTCAGAGTCCGAACCCCTCCTGCACCCCGCCCCCAACTCCCTGCCCTAAGCCCCCTCCCTGCACCCCTGTGCACCTCAACCCCCTGCCCTGAGCCCCTTGCTGCACCCCTCCTGCACCTCCTGCACCCCAACTCCCTGCCCTGAGCCCCCTGCCACACCCCACACCCCTTTTGCATCCCAATCCCTGAGCCCCCTGCCGCACCCCGCACCCCTCCTGCGCCCCAACCCCCTACCCTGATCTCCCTCCCACAGTCTGCACCCCTCCTGCACTCCACACCCCTTCCCTGGGCCCCCTTATATACCCCGCATCCCTTTTCTGCCCCAATCCCTTGCCCTGAGCCCGTTCCTGCACACTGCACCCCCTCCCACACCCTGCACTGCCTCCCGCACCCCAACCCCCTGCCCCGGTCCTGCATACAATTTCCCCACCCAGATGTGGCCCTTGGCCCAAAAAGTTTGCCCACTCATGATCTAGTGTAAACAGGCCAAATTGTTCTCACACACATAATACACTAAGTAGTACATACAAATAGTATTGTTGGTAGGCTGCCCATGCTAGCCCTTTGCAACACAGGGTATGTTTAGATTTGGAATAAAACTTTATGCACAGTTCTGGGTATCTCCTGTCTATCCCTTCCCCACTTTCACCTTTCCCTGTTACATAGACATCTGCCGCACTCTGGAGAGTAGATACAGCCAAAGTATAGCCCATGTGTGGCCTTTAAAAGTGATGTTTAATGAACTCTTAAAAGGTAGGTTTGTGACATTTTGTTTTCATATGATGTATAAAAAGAACCTGAATACCACTTCTTTTTTCCTATGTGTTTTTGAGACTCTGTGTAGCTAGTGAAGTTAGGTGTGCATGTAAGTGTTTTGCAAGCTGGGAGCCTTACATGTAAAACAAACTAAAAAAAATTCAGGAGTTCATTATGCTTCATACCAATGTAAAA